GGAGGCAAGGTCGGGGTGACAGTCTTGGTCAGAGAGGCCACTGGAGAAACCTCACTGGCCAGCTCAGGAGCCGTTCCTTCCAGGCAGTGCCCAGATGAAACCTGGCACCACATTAGGAAGAGCCTTGTCTGAAGTCCAGGGCTGGGAGGAGAGTGTCGGGGGGCTTTGCAAAGGTAGCCGGGGTTCACGTGAGTGATGAAAGCATTCATTCCAGTGTGATCCCAAGGAGGACATGCAGTGAGGCAGATCTAGCAAGATCCGGGGGCCAACAGCCCCAGCTCTGTCACTTACTGGCTGTGTGACCCCGGGCAAGTCCCTACCCCTCTCTGAGCACCAGTTTCTGTGCCTGTCACATGGAGGTGATCACTTAGCCCTCCGTTGCCCAGTGAGGGTTAGCGATAATGATCTTGGTTGCAACTAGCGTCTCAGAAGGCCTTCACCTGTGTCAGGCTCTGCCGAAGGGGTTTACATCTGGTCACCCGAAGAGGAACATCTTACTATTAGCCCCATTTTCCAGATGAGGAAACTGAGACACTGCATGGTTAAATGAAACCAGGCCAGGATTCGAACCTAGTCAGTTGGGCTCGCAGCAGGCCTTGCTTAAACCCCTTGGACGCATCCTGATGTGGTCCCTGGGCACCTGTAGACATGCACACGTTGAGAACCCAGGCCGGGAGCCACACTGCACATCCTCACTGCCTGGGAAATGCAGGGCCCTTGCTTCCTGTAGAAGAAAGGCCCTTTTAGGTGGCCCTCAGTGTGGCCTGTGCCTGGGTCTCACATTCCGTGGAGTTTTGGCCCCTGACTTGGGCTTTGGCTGCCTGGGCCTCATTGTTCTGCCACTTGGCGGGAGTGGCCGGGCGCAGGCAGCCAGTTTGCTCCCGCTGCTACCCAGAGATGCCCGTGTATGCTGGGGGACTTCCCTGCTCTCTGTGTCTGTGTGCCTTGGTCTTTCTGCATCAACACTCCCTAAGAAGCAGTTTTTGGCAGGAATTTCCAGGGTAAAGGGCTTGGGTTTCCACTGAGGTATCCACAGACAGAAGGCAAAATCTCTGAAATCCAACACCCCTGGAGAGCGAGAGGCAGTGGCTGCCTTGGACCTGGGAAGGGCTTTGGAGTCTCCTCATGCAGCTTACTAGCCACATGACCTTGAACCTCCCCTCTCTGAGCCTGTGTCCTCATCTATAAAATGGGTCTCCCAACCGCCCCAGGATGCAAGGGAAAGATCTGGGCCGCTGGAAAGAACTGACGGTTCTTTTCAGAGAAACTTCCATGCCTTTCTCCCAACCATCCCCTCTTCCATTTCCCTCGCTCCTTCCCACTCCTTCTGTCCTCCCCCTTCCTCCTCCTCTCCTCCTCACCTCTCCCCTTCCCCCTTCCCTCTTCCCTCCTTCCCTATGTAGTGTCCCCCACCACCATGACACTTGGGGATCTGACTAGCAGACTCCTCCTTGGCCGCTTCTTTCCTAGAACAAAGCCCCTCTTCCTCACTGGGGAGGACGTGGGGCCACCCTTCCATTAGGTTCTGGACGGAACAGCTCTGAGGGGTAGTAATTTACCAAAGCTCCAGGGGGTTGGCAGAAAAGACAGCTCTGCTGTCACCATGGTGCTGTCCCAGAGGGCGTGGACTCTGGGGGGCTCCTGTCCTTGTGACCCCTGTGGGGGGAAATGGCCCCTCGTGGCCCTGCAGCCTCAGGATCACCCCTGCCCACTCAGCACAGGTCCTGTTTTTGAGGGGAGTGTTTGTTCAGTGGGGAGATGATGTAGGAAGTGCTCAACTTTGTACGTAACAAAGAAAGATAGTGAATTGCCACTAAGAGCATGTGAGGAGTGCAGCGTGGTGGTTTTAGGCAGTGATGCCACCATGGGTTTGAGTCCTGGCTCCACTGCCGTGGATCTGGGAAAATCTCTTGACCTCCTTGTGCCTCAGTTTCCTTTTCTGTAAAATGGGTCAATAATAGACCCTGTCTCATGGAGTTGTTAAAATGAGGTGGGCTAAGAGGTGAAGTGAATGAAGCAAGGCCTGGCATAAAAAGGGCACATAATCTTTGACTTATCACTGTTATTACTGTTATTTCTGATGAGGCCAGGGACCCCTGGACGGTGCTCCCGGAGTCCTGTGTGAGGCCTGGGGTCTCCCGAGAAGCCCTGTGCAGTCTGCTGGCTCTGGGTGCAGGTGTTGGGAGTGCACACAGGGGGAGTGACCTGGGCAGACACCTGCTAAGCTTCTGCCCGGCAGGATGGCCAGGCTCCCAGCTGGTGAGTGACAGTGTTGAGATACAAATCCAGGCCCATCAGCCCCCAGAAGCTGGGTGGAGTGGGATAAGGGGAAGGAGACCCAGAGTCAGCTGGTGCGTGGGTGGGCCTGGCCTCTAGGCCACTCTGGCACCTTCTGAGATAAAGACAGAACCTTCTTGCTGAAGACAGTTCTTCTCCAACCTTTCCCTGGAGGTCTCCCTAAGGGCAGAGGACCGTGAACATGTCACCCTGAGGGGTCTGGGGGTGCAGCCCGAAGCAGCCGCAGAGCCCGCAGGAGTCTCCGGTTTTATCTTAAAATGCATGCGCATTTTACATGCTGTTGCCTCCAAATCCGGTTTGTTGTCGCACACATTTCCCCCCTGAGTAACAGCGCTGCCTCTGGAAGCTGCTAGTGTTTGTCTGTTTATCCTGGGGCTTTCCCTCCTGGTCCTCATCCTGTCGCCCTGGGGGCATGCGCTGGGGTGCAGGGGCTCAGGCACAGATGGCCGGGAGATGTGGCCCACACGGAGCGGGGCTGGGTGAGCAGGGCACCGACAGGGGACCCAGGTGGGAGGTGAGTACCCACTGGGCCAGATGCAGGGGGTATGGTGGGGGGAGAGGCCCCAGAGGTACAGACACTCCCACAGTGCCCTACCCCTGCTGCCTATTTGAGATAAGAGAAAAAGAGAGTAAGATCTGTCACATAAAATGCCATGTTTGTGGGTCAGACCTGGTTCGTCTTGGCAGCTTCACAGCCAGAAGACAGCACGGGCCCATGCTTTGGCAGGACGCAGCCCCCACCCTGCACGCCCTCTCCGCTGCTGAGGGCTCCCCCTGCTAGCCTGAGTTGGGTGCCTCGATTTTTGCCGTCTATTTGGTGTTCTGGAGAGCAGCTTTCTCCCCGAAACCACTGAGCAAATGTGAGCGGGAGGAGCTGGGCCCGTCCGGAGGGCACAAAGGAATCCTGGGCTCTGGACCCCAGCAAGCCAGGCCAGTGAGCGGGTTCTAGACTGGCTGGGGGTCCCTCGAGGGGCAGAGCTGAGGAGGCAGGGCTGGTGAGTCAAGCTAAGTGGGTCATTTAGGGCTTGGCGGACATCCTTTGATAGATCAAAAGGCCTCACAGACATCCCTCAGCCTGGGAGGGCTGGATGCCACCCACTGTGGCTGGAAAAACCTAGGCGGGGAGGAAGGAAGAGATTCCCTGCCTGCTGCCCAGACACCCTGTTAATGGGGGCGTGTGTTTACTTAGGATGTGTACCACAGCTAGCTGAGCCTCTAGACCAGGGGAAGGCCCTCCGTTTGGGATGTGGCTGGTACAGATGACCAGGTTCAAGATTGAGAGAGACAGAGTCCATCCAGGGAGAAAAAGCAGACCCTGAAAGGGCCGAGGGGGGGGGGAACGCATAAGGGAGTGGGGGTGGCAGACAACCCCTCCCGGCCCCACCCAGGGCTCTGGCATGCAGGTTATACCTCAGAGTATCCTGACCCGAGGCAAGGGCAGTGACTTTCATCTGGACCCCCTTGGTCATTGACTGATGTCATCAATTCCTGGCTTTCCAGAGGATATAGATGATACTGCTCCAGTAGCCTGGGCCAGTCCTCATGGGTTCTATTTGGGATGTGTCGAGTCCATGGGAGAGCCAGGGCGGGGTCTGGTAGAAGTAGCAGCAGCCAGATAAGGGGGCCATCACCTTATGCCTACAGTATGGCAGGTGCCTCCTGGGCGTCAGCCCCTTTCATCCTCCATGGGCCTGTGGGCACCCAGGCCTGACCCTGGACACAAGGTGCTGCAGAAATGCCTGTGGGTGGAGGAAAGGCTTTCATCCCAAGGAGAGCTTTTTCCTTTGCATCCAGGAAGCTCCTGGTAGCCGGATGCTGGCTGTCCCCTCCGGCTGTACAGATGCTTCTGTGTGCTTCTGCCTTGGTCCCTGCCCTCAAGGCAGGCCTCTGCTAGGGGCGGCTGGCCGAGGCTGCCTGTGACCCCGAGGGTGGAAGTGATATTGGGAGTGATTCTTAGAGGGCATTTAGCGCCAGCCTGGGCACCTAGCGGGTGCTTACTCAGGAGCAGCTTCGGTAGCTAGTGTCCTTGACTCTCCTGGAGGCCTCTGACGTGGCGGCCCCTCCCCTGGGGATAGAAGGAGCTGCTCCCCTGTGCAGAGGGCTCTGCGCCTGCCCTGAGGTTTATGCAGCACTGTGAGGGCCCCCGCGGCCTTGGCCTTCCCAGTGTTTTGTGCACCGGGACCCGGCGAGGATGGAGAGGTTGGGTCCTTCTTATAGCTGCTGCATGTAGTCTTGCCCACGGTCTCTCCACGCAGGCTGCCAACCTGGGTTTTTGTGGGGGTGATAATGGGACAGGGCTTTGTACCTGTCTCCCAGGAGGCATGAGGTGGACAGTAATGTGGAAGAACAAGGCTTTGGAGCCTAGCACTTGTGGGTTGAGTCTGGCACATCCTTGGCTGGCTGGGGGGCCACCTTTAGACCTTTCCCTGCACAGAGCCTGTTTCCCTCTCCCCTTATCCAGTGGGGGGATAGTCAGACAGGATCATGGAGGGAAAGTGTGTCATGTGGGGTATGGAGTCCTAACCCAGGCACTGCTGAGCTGGGTGCCTGCCCTGTACCTAGGCTGGTTTATCTGCAAGATGTGAAGTCTGACAATCCCGCCTACCCCCTGTGTCGTCCAGAGGAGAGAGTGAACAGGCGTGTGTATAAAGAAAGCCCTCGTTTTCTTTTGCAGCCCGTGCCTTGTGAGGCTGGCATGCAGGATGGCCGGACAACCCAGCCACATGCCCCACGGAGGGAGCCCGAGCAGCCTCTGCCACACGCCAGGGCCCGCACACCCTCCTGACCCACAGGTGAGGCCGTTTCCTTCATCTGCAGAACACTGGGGATTCACCGAGCCCCTGAGGCTGCTTCATCCCAGCCGCTTGCTGAGGCCCCTCGGCAGCCACCCAGGGGCGGGAGTGGAGCACGCTTCCTGCAGGCTCAGCCCTTGTTTCCGTCAGCAGCACTCCGCGAAGCCTCTTCTGTGCCCGAGTCTGGTCTGTCCCTGGGATTTCCTGCAACAGCTTTATCTCAGTGGGGGCCGTGCTGGGTAGGAAGGCCATGTCGTGGAGGCCCCAGGAGATAGTGAGGGGCTCAGGAAGGGACGGCATGGGCGCAGGGTCGGAAAGTACTTCTTCACCCTGCACTGAAGTCAGCCACCCTTTTTGGATTTAGCTGTGTTCTGGCCCCTCTTCATTCAGCCTCTTGGTCTAGAACCAGCAAGGCGCCAGGCCATCGGCTTCCCTCCACCTGCCTTGGCCTGGATGCGGGTCCTGGGAGAGCCAGGCAGCCACACCCCCCCTGGCTTTGCGTATGCTGTTCCCCTGGGCCTGGAGGGCCCTCCCTGACTCCTCCTCCAGGCCTCTGTCCAAATGCTGCTGCTTCTAGGCAGCCTTCTGGCTCCGCCCCACTCCTTCCTCTGTGCTGCACAGGCACTGGGTCATGGCCATGGCACCCTGGGGGGAGCTGGAGCTGGTGCCAGAGTCTGTCTCCCTTCCTAAACAGAGGATCTTTTAGGGCCGAGGTGTCACGGGTCACATCCTCCCATGCCAGAGGAGCCCCTCGGTGCCTGCTGACTGACTGAACTGCAGATGCATGTAGTACAGCCCTGCCTGGCCAGGTCTGCTCCTAGGAAGCCATGGCCTCATGGGAGAGAAAGATAAGATGCTGAGCAGAAGAAACTCAGGGGCCCATGGAGCTCAAAAAAGGCACGTGGTCCAGACTAGATGGCCAGAGAGGCTTCTTGAAGAAGTGGCATGCAAGTGGGGGATGGGGACAGAGAGCCCAGGCCAGGTACTGTAGGGCCTGGTGCACAGCCCGGAATGATGAAAAGTCATGGGTTTTTTCCCAAGCTGTGAGACCTGAATCAGAGGGAGACTCAGAGACAGCTATCTCCTTGAGCCATGGAAGGCTTGTCACAGCCTCTAACTGCCTAGCTCCTGTCAGAGGATGTCAGGTGGACTGGTGTTTGACCTGCTTGGCCAGGATTGCCATGTACAGTCATACAGGTACACACTGCACAAAGGTGTCTGTCCAAGGAGGTAGACGGGTCTGAAATCCTTCTACACCTGAGCTCCCATCAAGCCATGCTTCCTGGGTAGAGAGCTGCCTCAGCCCAAGGGAGGGAGCACCTTTGTAGGTTCATGCAGAGGCCAGACATGTGAATTGGTAGACACTGTGTCTGCTTGTGTGTGTGTGTGTGTGTGTGTGTGTGTGTGTGTGTTTGCACGTGTACGTGCGCGTGTGTGCTCATGCTCTTGCACTCACAGACTGTCTAAGGGCATCCACACTCTTCACACTTGCTGTTCCCATTGCTGGATGGGATGCGGGCCCATTTCCTAGGTGGAATTTGGGGAGGCAGATCCCAGAAGGCCCAAAGGCTTGTGGACACGGCTGGTCCAGAGTCCACCAGGACATCTCGCTGATGGCTGGGGGCAGTGGGGCCTCCTTGGGTAATGTAGCAATTTGTCATATTAAGTCATTCACTAACAATTGAGTCCCCCTTGATTAATCTCCCAGAATTAGCCAGTTGCATTTTGAGCAATTAGGGTTAATTACAGCCTCATTTGGCAGAGGAGAGAGCCCCGTAATTATTTCACGAACAAGGCGAGGAGCGGCGGGCTGCGGCGGCCGCCGCGTCCCGGTGCCTCGTCGCACATGTTGGAGTGGGTAATGACATAGTTAAGTGTAATTAGACACGATGACTTGTCGTTGGGCAGCGGCTGCTGGTGAAGGTGCCCCAGTCCCGCCAGCATCTGGCCTGGTTTGCAGAGCTGGGGAGCGTAGCCGTGTTCACACCGGCGCTGTTGCAGGCTGGTGGGAACGAAGACAGCCACCTCCTCTCTCCTCCGCTCCTGAAGCACCGGTGTTTAAACACCATCTGGGGAGACATCGTGGCCCGAATCTCGCCTGTTTCGGGGCATAGAAACACCTCAAATCGACAGCGGAGGCATTTTCCTCTATGGAAGGACACCTGCTGTTTCCCTGAAATCGTCCTTAGAGGAAGGAGCCAGGGCCCACAATGACAGGAGTACTGTGCTCTAGACCAGGTGGGGCTCAGCTCCCAACTCCATCCCTCACCAGCCAGGTGACATTGGGTAAAGTACCTGTCTGAGCCTCAGTTCCTGCATCTGTAAAATGGGGCCGTGAAGACTAAGTGAGATGGTATACTTTAAACCAACATGGCATCTGACATTGTGGGTGTTGAGGAAATGTGTGTCATTGATTTTATTCTTTTTTAAAAGTTGATTTATCTCGAGTGTGAGTTGGAGAGGGGCATCTCGAGTGTGAGTTGGAGAGGGGCAGAGAGAGAGAGGGAGAGAGAGGGAGACAAGCAGGCTCCTTGCTGTCAGCACAGAGCCTGGTGTGGGGCTCGATCCCACAAACCGTGAGATCATGACCTGAGGTGAAACCAAGAGTCTGCCCTTTAACTGGCTGAGCCACCCAGCTGCCCCTGTCACTCATTTTATTCTTTTGATTTAGCATTCATTTTAGTTTTCATGTTAAAGAGCCCAGAGCTGGAAATACCCACAGTGAGGAAAAGAACAACTTAGCAAACATTCAGCCTGGTTTCGTTAACTTTCTGTGCTACAGGCTAATGATTGGTCATTTCAAGGAGCTTTCTAGCTCTCTAGTGAGACCTGTCAGCTTATGAAAACATGGGTGCTGAACCCAGTGGAATCACATGTAAAATTATTGAGATTTCGAATGAATGAATGAACCCAGTGGAATCACATGTAAAATTATTGAGATTTCAAATGAATGAATGAACCCAGTGGAATCACATGTAAAATTATTGAGATTTCAAATGAATGAATGAATGAATGCAGCCGAGAAAAAAGAGCTTTAGTGCCCCCATGCTTTATGATTCTACCAGTTTGCTGCAGACAGTTTTCATCAGGAATGAAACACAGCTGACCCACTAAGAACCACGTGAATTTCCAAGAAGGAGAAAGGTGCTCTTGTCTGAGAAAGCCCTGGTTAATGTGTCTTCCATCTGGAAAGTCTTTGCAAACCTCCTTGGGGCGTGCCAAGTTCAGTTATATTCGGCCCTATTCAGAGAAAGAGAAATGTGCGTTACTTTTCAGGGGATGGATAGACGGCTGCCTCTTCGATCTGAATCACACAGGCCAACATCTTTATGAAAATCTTCCCAAAGCAGTGTTGGTAGTTAGGTAAGATTTAATGACCAAATATTAACAGCTATTAAAACTCAAGAAGTGTTTGCCAACGTGTCGTAAATTCAGCAGGGGCCTGTCTCATTTCTGCCTCGGGTCTGCTTAAAGCCCCACACAGAAGTAGAGATAGTCAGTACGGAGGTGGAAAGCCCCCCAGAGGGATGGGCGGTTGCTGAGGGAGCCCAGAGGGTGGGGTGGGATGGGGACACTCTAGAGAGATGACGTCTGGCCTGGCTATAATCAGGAGTTTGGGGCAGGACAGGGAGAGGGTGTCCCAGGAGGAGAAAGGGGCCAGGGCCAGCCTGAAGGGGCAGGACCAGTCAGGTTGGGCAGGTGTTTAAATACCACTGCTTCCTGGTGTTTATGAAAGGCCGTATCATCTGGAATTGAGTCTATAGTGAATGAGTGATGAGCCCATCAGAGGTTTAGATGGACAAGGGAGTTTGCATTTTTTTGAAAGATCACTGATTGCTGGTGCTCAAAGCACAGGTAAGGTGAAAATAGGAGGAAGCCTCCCTCCCCTCCCCTCCCCTCTCCCCTACCTTGGTCTTAAGTGGCTGGACACAGGGAGAGAAGATTCCAGAGACTTCCAGGGGGCAAAAAGCAACTGCACTTGGTAACTGAGGGCATGAGGGAGAGCAAAGTTGAGGATGTATCCAGCCTCATGGTGGGATGGCTGATGCTCTCTGTGGCTTTCCTCCGTCAAGTCTTGGCTCGTTGGTCACTGTGGCTGGTTCCCAGATTCTTTTTTTTTTTTTTAAGAGCTTGTTTTTAATGTCTTATTTATTTCTGAGAGAGAGAGAGAGAGAGAGAGAGAGAGAGACAGCGTGAGCAGGTAAGGGTCAGAGAAAGAGGGAGACACAGAATCTGAAGCAGGCTCCAGGCTCTGAACTGTCAGCACAGAGCCCGACGCGGGGCTCGAACCCACAAACCGTGAGATCATGACACTTAACTGACTGAGCCACCCAGGCGCCCCTCCCGGATTCTTTTATGTATGTTTAAGCTCAGCTTTCTCTGAGCTCAGCTTGTGGCAATTGTCCTGGGGGACCCGCTGCAGCTGAGACGATCCTAGGTTACCAGGTGACTTCCAAGTTTTGGGCATCTTGCTCACTGTTTCCATGCGCTGATGGCCCTCAGAACCTGAATATAGACTTCCAGGTTGGGACAGTCATGGTGGCAGTATTGCCAATAGTGACATCTCATCCATCTTCCTCCCGACTTGGAGAACCAGGTCTTATTCAGAACTCTGTTTCGAGGAGAAGGAAATCGAGATAAGTGATGTGTACGTTTTGCCCTTGAGGGGCTGAGCCAGCATTCACACCGAGGCCTGTGGCCCCAAGGCACCCCTTCTTTTTGTCACAAGATCTGCGAGAGGGAAGATGAGCTTTGGTTTGAAATTAGCCACATTGTGAGAGCTGAGCAGGGACGTCCTGTCAAGAGCCTGACAATATGGACTCTCTGTAAATCGTGCCCTTCTTCTGTGTAACACAGATTTAAAACACATCACCATATCCATTAGAAGTTCCCTACACACAGTGTCAGATGTCTTTAAAGGTGAAATTCGTTTACAGGAAATGTCATTCTGATGAAGTATGCTTTTTAAAATCACAGAAACAGTTGCCTTAAAATTAATG